GGGGAAGGAAGGAAGGAAGGAAGGAAGGAAGGAAGGAAGGAAGGAAGGAAGGAAGGAAGGAAGGAAGGAAGTAAGTTGGTTGGTTGGTTGGTTGGTTGGTTGGTTGGTTGGTTGGTTAGTTGGTTAGTTAGTTAGTTAGTTAGTTAGTTAGTTAGTTAGTTAGTTAGTTAGTTTCCAGGGATAAGAAGATTGTATAGGCTGGGCATGGTGGTGCAAACCTGTGATCCCAAAGGCAGAGGCAAACATACACATAAAATAATAAATAAATAAATCCTTAAAAAAAAAGGAAAACCGGGTGCGGTGGTGCACGGCTGTAATCTCAGCACTTGGGGAGGCAGAAGCAGGTGGATCACTGTAAGTTGGAGGCCAGCCTGGTCTACAGAGCAAGTCCAGGACAGCCAGGGCTACACAGAAAAACACTGGCAGGGGAGGGGGCAGGAGGGGAAGGGGGATGTTACAGACTATCACAGACCTAGATACAGTACCTACCTACCTCACCTACCTCAGTAAGAGAACAGCTCAGAATAACCAGAAGCCCACTCTTCTTTCAAGAGTACTTCAGAAGTCATTTCTTCTGCACACCCTCAGACATGGGCCCTCCCCACAGGACCCTTCAGTACTCCCATGTCTAAGCTTCTCTCCTGGGAACTGTCTCTCACTTTCTGCTGTGCATAACAATAATTTTCAGTATCTTCTTCCTACATCAGCCTGCATTCCCTAGTGGTTTTGAAGAAACCCAAGTTATCACTGTTTCTTGAACATCTAAGACAGAATCTACAACAGGGAATCTTGCATTGTTTCTTAAATAATGGTTCAAATTAATATGAACTAATTAAAATAATTATAGCACTGATTTCAAAGCAGTGGTATAACACTTTTAAAAGCCAGCCCTAAAAATCACTTTCAACACTCTACCTCTTGTGCCAGCTAAGCTGCTCAGCCAGCTAAAATCTCAATAGGCAAAGTACTTGCTATGTAAGCCTGAATTGAGTTTGACTCCTCAGAAACCACAGAACAGTAGGGAAGAAGAGACTCTACAAGCAGCCCTCTGACCAACTATGTGTGTGCCATGCACAGATACTCACAAACAAACACACACACACACAAAACCATACACATGCAGTAATAAAGAGAAACACAACAAAACAAACAAACAAACAAAAACAAGCATTACCACTCCAGGGCACACACTTCTCACAGATGCCAGGCACAAGAACTCATTTATTTAGGCCCAGGCTTGGGTTTCTACTACAATGCACAGTTCAAAGATGCATCAACTTTTCACTAATAGTTTTGTTTTGTTTTTTCCTTAAATATGTGCTCATTTTAAATCTGGAAGGAAAGAAACTCAGGAAACTGTATAAGTTGAACAAGTACCTCGTGGGTCTCAGAAGCAACCTGGGAATCAGTAATCTCATCTAAGTCATCTTCAGCCTCACAGTCTTCCCGCACTTGCAGCCCTTGTTGCCCACCATAAGCCTGCAAGTATTCTTCATCCTAACGGCCATTAAAGAGAAGAAACATTTTTTCTCACAAAACTTCTGGGTGTTTTCAACCACTTTTTATGTACGATTCATGCAGAGTTATTTTAACACATTCTACTGTGATACCCTGACCAAGCAGGTAGCACAGAAGCTTCCTCTGCAGTCATACAAACCAAGCACACAATCTGGTCCAGCAATGAGAGCAACAACGGCGAAGCTTCGAGCCAAGGCCAGGATGAGCAGCTCTCTCAATTAGCTCAAAGGAAAATAGCCTTACAAGAACCAGGCTTGTGTGTTCACTGAGGAGCTTGGCAGCAGGAGCTGGTCTCAATGCTCCTGGCCAACCTGAGGCCAACAGCAAGAGCAGAGGTAGGCAATTTTTGACACAGCAAAGTGATTTTCATATTTCACACTACCGGGAATTCTTCATCAGGCCTTTCTTTCCCTTGGGTGAGAGGATGATTCTAGGTTTTGCATGAAATGAAAAGGGTTTATCAGTAGGCAAGCTTGTCCCTTCTGGGCTCAGGCAAGGTAGCAGTCAAGGTGAATAAAGATCAGCATACTGTCAAAGAGAGCAGACTGCTGCTGGCATTACCAACAAGTAGTGAGGTGGGAAGAGCTGACCCTCCTGCTTCTTATGATGACCCCCAACAATGCATTCCACTTTGAACAAAATCTGTTAGCATCCCATCAAAAACAAGTGGAGATGCTAATCAACATTTCACAATGGAATAGTCTGCTACTCTCTACACAAATAGTAAATTTGAACATGATTTTACAAAACAACATTTTATGAAATCTCATTTGTTACCAACTTCACAGAGAATACACTTTAATGTCACCAATAAATACTACTCTGTTGGCTACTGAGCAATACAATTGTTGCTGCTACCAGAGTACAGGTAGCAAAATGCAATCACGTTCATTAACAGTGATGCTTGCAAAATTTACTTAACACAATACAACAGACCTCCCGAGCTGTGCTGACCAGTCTCTCAACATCTCTGGGATTTCTCATTCTTCACAAGTGATAGTCTCCCTTCCAGTTACAAAGCCTGTGGTCTTAAGAATTCTATGGCCAGTTCTGCACCAAATTCATGTTTTTAGGGATGGGCTCTCACAGAAAGCCCATGCTTGTGAAGACACATTTCAGAGTTAATTCTGGCTTTGGAGAGCAGGTTAACATAGTCTGACCAGGACAAGAAACCAGTTTAAACGATTCAATAATGGACATACCCCTAGGGTACATGGGGACACAATCTATTCATGTGTTTACTGGTCTAATGACAATATGCACATCAGGGACAGTATGAGACAAGATCCCAGCTGCTGGACAAGATCAAAGCACTCCACCACTCAATTCTGATTTCTTCCCACCCAGGGCGGTCAGTCCTTTCAGACACTACCATGAAGAGAAACGATAGCTTTGGCTCCAACACAGACATAGTAAGGCGCCACTGCTCGCTGAACATTCAGCTGTGAAATACTAGTACATCAGAGTTTTTAAGTGGAATTTTAAAGTTTTTTGAAGGTTTTTTTTTAATTCTGAAAAATTATTTCATTTTAATGTAAAGGAGTTCTATAAATGTTTCAATTGAAGTTATTTTATTCTTTTCAGTACTTGAATCTTGGACCACAGGATGATGAATTATTTAAGTAGATTTTGTATTATTCCTGGGACTTTATGTAGTCCTGGGACTTTATGTGGTCCTAAGTTGGACAGCAAAATACATAAGAGGAAAATTTCTCAATGACTACAAGTTCTCTCTTTACAAGTCCACAAGAACCAAGTAAATGGCTGAGCAAACTCACCCTATACACACTTTCCATACTGTGTGAGTGCTTCCTCTATTACATGCTTTTTATGGTTCAACATTTATATGACTTATAATTAGTAAAGATGTGTTGACTATTTAAGGAATAGAGGACCCAAGAAATGAACAGCTAATGTTACAAATGAATAGTTAACAGTTAAATGCTATAAGAAAACAAGCCCATTTTAGAAAGAACTTGGGTTAATTCAACAAGCATGTTAAATTATGCTGTCTCACATAAGCAATCATACTAGTTTCAGAAGATACTATCAACTGAAGGTCTGATTACTAAAATACAGGATCACAGGCAGCAGGCTCCATGATGCTTTTTCATGACTCTACTGACCACAAACTATACAAACTTTCTAAAAAACAAGCCCAAGACACCAAAGCCCAGTCATGACTGAACTAAATATTTGCAGGCTCTGTATCATCAAGCCCTCATAAAGAAGGCTGCTACATTACATAAATGACCAATATTCATCAGCTGTTGACCAATGTCCTCAAATGCAAGCACACACTAAATGATGACACCACAAGTGAGAATGCTACTCCCACCAGCAAAGGTTCTACACACTTACTGTCCATCTCAGCAGTCCCACCTCCACTCTGCCTGCCTTCAAGGAATCCCAATGAACTGAAACCCTTAGGCAATACACAATGCAGCAATAACATCTTTCCAGCATGAATGTCATTTCAAACTTTTTAAAAACACAAACCCCTTCTGATAATGTACTATTATGACAGATGGCCAATCTTACACCACTACCCATTTCTTTTCTACTGTTTAATAAAAATTAAACACTACCTACCAAAGCCATCTTTCTGAAATAAAGACCAGCACCATATTAGCTTGCTGATTACAGATAACAAATTATGTGTGACATTTTCTAAACTAACCTCAACCTCTTTATTCAGGTTTAGACAGTTCTCAGTAAGAAAGGGATGAATGAAAACAGGACATCAATCACTGTGGAATATTAGCACCTTAAGGATGTCTTTAGCAGGTCAATAATCTTTTCACCTTAGAAGGACTTTATCAGATCTTGTCTAAAGCCTGGATAAAAGCTCTGCATTAAGTACTTCTAACATTGACAGTGTGCCTCCACCACACAAAGCTGTTTTCTTCCTTAGAGTGCAATCCTCAAGGTCACAATTCTTTGCAGCCTTCTAGAATGACAAAGGAGCATTACCATCGGCCAAACAAGCTGTCAACACAAACTTTGTCATAGCTCTGATAAAGAAACTGGCAGACAGTGATAATAAGGTCTAATTTCTCTCCTTCCCATGGGAGGTAAACAGATTTCAAATCAATCTAGAAACCTATATGCAGGAAGCCATGTTATCTATGGCCATTCAAAAGAGAAAAGACTCACTGTAAATTCATCTAAAGGTTCATTGATTTCGATGTCCAGCACTTCATCGTTGTATAGCTGCTCCTCCTCTGGCTCATCCCCATATTCTATTTGGTCTTCTGTCAACTCTGCATCATGGCCTTCATACTGTCCTTCTTCTGAGTACTCTTGAGCATACAGTTCTTGCTCCTCAGGTTTGTTGTAGGCTAGCTCATCCTCTCCTTGTTCATACTCAGATTCCTGTTCTCCGGATTGGTCATTGGTATTGTCAGACAGCTCAAATGAAGTAACTATGCCAGAGGTGTTATTCAGGCTGATAGTGACACCCTGAGAACTATATGACAAAACAAAATGAAAGACACTGAGAGGTAGAACAAAGCTGCATCACTACATAAAGTAAGTTGCAAGACTTAATCACTGATAACAAGACATCCCACTGGGTGAGTGTACTCTAATAATCTGAGATAATATAGCTGTGCTAGATTCCAAGTGGCCCAGAGCTACTGACCCACAAAGCAGACAGCATCTCCACTTGTCAGCTCTGTTATCTGACCAAAAGAATTAAGTCAACCAGATGAAGTAGCTGGTCTGGCTGAGAAATATCCAAGATTGAACCTAAACACTTTGCATCTCAGTCTACTTTTATAGAATGAAACACATGGAACCTGTCTGGTAGAACTGTTAACAGAAAACAAGAGTACTACTCTATAATCAGAAAAGCATAGAATCGTTTTTAAGACTTTTTAAAAATTTATCTTACGGTATGTGTGATTGCCTTCAAATACATGCACTACATGTATGACTGGTACCCAAGAACCAGAAGAGAGCATGGGATCCCCTGGAACTGAATTACAGGTGGTTGTGAGCACCCTGATATAGGTGCCAGGAAACAAATAGAGAATACTTTCCAAGAATACTAAGTGATTTCAACTGCTGAGCCATTTCTCTAGCCCCCACAGTTTAGAATATTAAGAACAATTTGGTTTCTGTTTAAAATATGTTATGTGAGGTATAAGCTCTAAGAAAATCAAAACTTTAAAAATCTGTATGAAAGTATATCAACATTCAAAAAATATATGCTAGTCACAAGTATATTTTTAAAAATAATTGATAAAGTACCAGTTGCGGTAGCTCATACCTATAATCCTAGAACTCAGGAGGCTGAGACAGGAGAATTGACATGAGTTACAGAACAGCATATACTACAATATGATTCTTGTCTCAAAAACTAAACCAAACAAATTAGCAATTTCTTCAAAAGACCGCAAAGGGTCTTAAAGCCACAAAACCCATATTATATCTATTTATATCACTAATCCTAAAGTGTAAATATTTCAAAGTAAGAGTTCAAATGCAGGGGCTAAAGATATGCCTCAGCTGTTAAGGACACTGGCTTGTTCTTCCAGAGGACCCAGGTTCTAATCTCAGCACCCACTTGGTGATTCACAACCAAATATACCTACAGTTTCAGAAGACGGGATACCCTCTTTTGCTTTCAGGACACACAAATGGTACACAGACATGCATTCAGACAAAATACTACATATAAAACTTTTAATTAAAAATAAATATTTTTTTTAAAAAAAAAGAGTTCAAATTCAAGACGACAAAGTAAATCTGTGCTCACAGCAAGTAACCTATACAGCAAAACTGAGCACACCATAGACTTTAGGCTTCTGGCCAAACTTCAAAGATACATTTAAAGGCCAACTTCACTCAAAAGTTCAAAAGTTCAAAATATAATTCGTGAAATCAAAGAAAAGAATTGGCAGACACATCTTACTGGTAGAATAATTTAAAACTATACTTTTGGCTACAAGTCATGTAAGAAAACAGGTTTCAAAGCTATGGCTTTTGTGATGTATTTGCAATCACGTTTAAAACCTGGGAGGATGTGTATACGTCTCTCAAGCTCCCTCCCTCCAGGTAAAAACTGTCTAAAAAGAAAACAGAGGCAGCAACATCAGACTGCAGCGACCAGCATTAAGCCAGAGACCACTGTACTCTAAGCAGACAGGTCACTGGGCCTTCAAAACCTGCTCTGAATGACATCCGTGACTTTAAGCCACTGACCTATTTATGGGAACAATCTATATGGCTTCCCCAGCAATATCCCATTCAGAATGTAATTGTACCTTAGAAGTCCAATACCACACTATTCAGTTACTCATTATAATTACAAAGTACATAAACAGTTCCCATCAACTTCTTTAAATATGGTCCAGTTTTAATGACTTAACATTGAGTACCTGAAATTTTCTTCATCTTCATTATCACTCTGTAAAAGATCATCATTCAGCTCTTCATCTGACAAATCCGACTGATTCTAAATTAAAACAAGAAGTCTAATTAATGTGTGTCACTTCCATAAAAATACTTGTCACCAAGCACAAGCTTACCCTGAGAGGCTTGTTTCTAACCTCCTGCTGCTCAACCTCTTGCCATCCAGGTTTGTTCAGTCTGGCACTGCCACAGAGAATCCAGAGAGCCCATACATATAGCATAACAGGCTAACCTCTGAGAAATTTTTAAATGTCACAGGTAAGTCAATATCAAGCAAGTATAATGATAACATTTATTCTGATTCTAGCACAAAAGAAAAAGGTTAAGTAAGACATCCCTATCCCTGGAAGGGAATCTGCCAAACAATTTTTCCTTAACCAAAATATTCAAACAAGAATGGCTGCCTTGGCTGGCATAATGGCACAAGTACTCAGAGGCAGAAGAAGGTATATCTCTGTAAGTTCAAGGTCAGCCTTCAAAAAAGATTGGTGGCCTTAAAATGACTAACAATGACAGAAACAAAAACCTGAAGTTTTAAAACAATATAGGAGATAGAAATCTGATATAAGCTGTTTGTAAAGTCACTGGAACAGAAGGTAAACCCATTAGGAATATAACATAAGCTTTCCCATATAGATGGCATGAAAACACAAATAACAGCTAACCCTTTCAGTGTTGTCACCTATCTCATTAGTATGCAGAAGCAACAGAATGATTTTCTAGAGTTCTAAATTTTAGGCTGGGTATCAATATTCTAGATTGAGGGGCGGTTCCATTTTCTTCCTCTACTAAAAGTGTTCCTAAGTTTAAAAGGGGCACACCCTTCTAAAGGGAAGACACACACAAACAAACACACTTTAAGTGAAGAAAAACTGACTTGATTTTCTACTCCTTAAATGAAACAATCTGCCATCTATAGTCTGTAAAACAGGTTAAACAGGTTAAACCTGTGTATTTATTACAGTACTTCTAATAGTCAAAAATAACTCTAGGAAAATTAGATTCAGAGACCTCATCTATCTCTGCAGTCATATAAGCTACCCAAAGTTATGCTTCCAACACAGCAGGATGGATCTGTAATTCACAGACCTAAAATGAATTTGCTGTAGTGATACAACTAGCCACCCAAAGGGGCCAGTTCTGACAATGAAGCAGATGCTACCCAGTAGTCAGGCCTGCTATGGAGAAGCTTATGTTTACTCTCCAACTCAGCAAACAAAACCTCAGGAAATGCTCTAAAATTAGCAATACAGTAAAATTCAAGGAGGGCTGCTTCTCTCTCTCTCTCTCTCTCTCTCTCTCTCTCTCTCTCTCTGTGTGTGTGTGTGTGTGTGTGTGTGTGTGTGTGTGAACACTCACATGCACATGTTTAAAGTTCAAAGGATTCTATATGCATACACTTATGCGTTTAAACTCTAAACTCCTTGATCCAAAGTCATTTAAGTAGTAACTTATCAAACAATGAAATTTATGCTGTGATAGGTCCCAGTAGTCATCAAATCTTAGTTCTGAGGATTGAGCCTTTCTCTCAATTCTGAGCATACTTAGGAACAGACACGGGAGGCAGTGAACAAACACCCGCACCCCTGGAAAAGCTTTAATCCTCAAAAGGAAACAACAGTACAGCAAAGAGCCAGAGATGGTTTTCAGCACAACTCACTGAATTAGAGTGAACTGTTTCTCAGGCAAGCAGGGAGCTTTGGAGGATTCTGTTCAAACAGTCAAGAAAGCAAGGTTCAACCGATCCCAAGCAAAGACCAGAGTGGCAGTGAGTGCTTATGAAATCCTTTTCCTCACCCTCTCAAGAAAATAGAAAGTCCCCTCCAAAATTCCTAAGAATGATGACTTTCCAAAGGGAAGCAGGGGTTTAAAGAGGTGGACAAAAAGGTCCAAAGATTGGCACTTACGACAGAGACCCCTTTGTGTCCCCAGGAAGGAGGGAGGATGACTGAAAAAGCCACGGGGAAACACATTATTTTTATGCTTACCTAAAACAACAACACTATATTGCTGGGCATGGTAGAACTAGTAGAGGCAGACTCTGTTAGTTAGAAGCCAGCCTGGTCTACATAGTAAGTTTCAAGACAGTCAGGGCTATATAAAGACCCTGACTCAAAAACAAAGCAGAACAAAAAGCATGCATATATAATAAGTATGCGTATACATACATAAATAATTTTTAAAAAATTACTCCACAAGAGGGGATAATGCTCCCTCAAGAGCCATGGACTATCTAACAGTGCCAAGCATGGGAAACCTCCCTTTGAGCTTTGGTCAGGGGAATCTAAAGAGACTTCCCTAACAATATATGCAGCTGCCAAAACCCTTACTTGCCTCCCAAAACAAAGATAAGACTCATTGCTAGTAAAGAATCAAGCCAAAACTGACCTGGAAGGCCCCTCCCTGAGGAATAGCTGTCATGGTATCTAAAGATGCTATATAAGATGCCAAGGGAGAAAAGTAATTACAAGTTCTACATAGCTATAAAGCCTATAAATTACAATAAAGACCAGAATGACAAGATACAGCCAAGAGTGCAACAGTAGCACTGATATCTCAATGGTAGCCAATAACCACCTAATTAGACTTAAGGCCTACTCAACTGGAGAAAACTTTACAATTAGCCAACTAAATTGTAGTTGGTGAGGTGACAGACTCTAAAGAAGGACCTACTACTGACACTTTCCTAAACCAGTAGGTCTTAGTTAGGGTTTGTTCTACTGCTGTAATGAAACTCTATTACCAAAAAGCAAGTTGGGGAGGAAAGGGTTTATTTGGCTTACACTTCCACATCACAGTCCATCATCGAAGGAAGTCACAGGAACTCCAACAGGGCTAGAACCTGGAATCAGGAGCTGATACAGAGGCCATTGGAGGGTACTATTTACTGCTTTGCTCCCCATGGCTTGCTCAGTTATAGAACCCAGGACCACCAGTAGAGTGATGGCACCAGACACAAAGGGCTAGGCCCTCCCCATTCAACAACTACATAAGAAAATGCCTTACAGCTGGATCTTAGAGAGATGTTTTCTCAATTAAGGTTTCCTTCTTTCAAAATCTCTGGCTTTTGTTAAGTTGACACAAGACCAAGCAGCACACAGTGTAATTCCCAACTTCATTCTAAAAACCTATCCTTATACTCACAAGTGTAGCTCTCACCTCCCATCAAAGAGGCTTCTTTTCGCAGCTGACAAAGACCATTACAGAAATCTCTAACTGGTCAAAATGCAGAAAACAACTGACTGTGGTGTACCCATTCCCAGCTGATAAGCTAGAACACAACCTCCATACCAAAGGCTCAAGGAATATCTGGGAAGAAAGGGTAAAAAGATTGTAAGAGCCAGAGAACCAGGTCATTAATGATGAAATAGGTCTTCTATATCTGTAAGGGAGTTGCACCCATGAATTCTTTAACAATATGGTCATCTAGCTAAGACCTGCACAATGACAACCAGCTGACATGCCAACAACAATGGTCTCACAAGGCCCCATCCTAGAAAAACAAATAAGAGCAATGACTGCTAAAGTAAAAGAATCCAGGGACAAGCTTTTCTGATAGGTTATCTAATCCCAAGTGGTCAGCATAAACACATTTAAGCTATATGGACTCAGTGGATTGTGTAGATGTATGTGTATATTTATAATAACAATTAAAGAACCTCAGTGTGAGGGAGATATCGGAGAAGCTGAGGGAGGAAAGGATGGAAATGCTGTATAGACAGTACTCATATATAAAATTCTCAAAAATTTATTTTAAGTACTTTTGGTGTTTTTAAAGTTGCTATGATTTAGACACTGTTCAACTATTCATGTGTTAAAATGGGGAAAGCCCAAAACCAAGGGATGCATACGCTATGATCAGTGGGGCGGAGTGCATACAACACTGCAGGACAGGCAGGATGGACTGAGGAAGAATTCTAAGTCACATTCAATTACTAGAGAAAATGCTGAGGAGGCGTAAGAGTCACAGACAGAGCGACAGCAGGACAAGTCTAATATACTGGCTGAAAAAGTCTTAACTGAAAGTATAATGAGTTTCAGCATAGTTCTTGACAATGTGCGCACTAATAATTTTAAGACTTGAAAATGAAGCATAAAGAATTATGTTGAGGACCTGGGGAGAAGGCTCAATAAAGTGCTTGCCACACAAACATAAAAACCTGAGTTTAATCTCTAGCACCATATGAAAGTCAGCTGTAGTAGCAGCATGAACCTAGAATTCTACCACTAGAGAAGTCAAGACAGATGATCTCCTGGGCTCAGTGACTAGACAGTCTAGCTAAAACAGTGAGGTCCAGGTTCAGTGAGGAAACCCGTCTCAAAATAATAAAGGCAAGCAATTGAACAAGACTGCATAGTAGCAACCTTTGGCCTCCACATGCACACATGAACATACATAAGCATACATGTCTATATGCATAGCCTCTTTCTCATATTCAAACGCTTGTACATATACACACACTTACAAATGCCATTAATAATATACCATATGTTAATATTAAGTGAAAATTTAAAAAACTTTTAAACTATTTAGTAAACCAAACTATGTAATTTCATGTTAGGGAACCTGGGAAGGTCGCTCAGTGAATAAAGCACTCACCAATCAAAGGCTGGAGTTCAGATTCCCAGCACCTTGCAAAAACTTGGTGGGCAGTGATCCACCTGTAACCCAAGAGCTCGGCAGAGGGAGACAGAATCCCTGGGGCAAACTGACTAGCTAGACTAGCTGAATCAGCTAGTTTCAGGTTCAGCAGGAGACCCTGCTTCAATAAATAAAGTGAAGAGTGACTAAGAGATGCACAATGTCAACCTGACTTCCACATACACATGTACATACAAGTACACCCAAACATGCAAGCACATGTAGACATACCACCTGCCCACAAAAAAAAAGGAAAACAAAATTCTCACTTTCATCTCTTGCTTTACATTTCTACCTTTCACATGATTTAAGAAACAAATTGGAAGTATATTACAGACAGACACACTAAAGATAATGCTTCAAAGCATTTAAGTCTAGAAAAGTTTCCATGAGAATTTTTACCCATATTTATATGCAGATCTGTTACATATTATAGTTAGGCAAATTTATCTTTAAGCTATCAGTGAATATTCCCAAAAAGTGCATTCTAGAACCACCATGTAAAGTATCAAACCTACATTTGATTCCTTTAAGGTATCAAACCTAATACATTCCTTTAAGGCAAAAACATGTTTTATGCTACTGTTATCCCAATTCTGATACCTGCTAGAGTGAACTGGACACAGTAAGAATAAAATACTTGCTCTCCATGGTAATACCCAGAGCAACCACTAATAAGCAGCCATTCTGCTGGGCTGAAAAAGTAACTCCAAGGCAGAATACATGCTGAACATTTGTGAGGCTCTGTGCAACAAAACAATCACTCCATTTACAAACTTCTGGTCCATGCTCAGCTTTCTAGAACTCCATCTCATTCACAACTGGTGGTGGTATGTCCGTTTTATTATAAGTAAGTAGTTCTTGTAAGCTATCTTTTTTTTTTTTTTTACCTTTTTGCCGGACAGTAAATCTTCTCCAAGCAAGTCATCTTCCAGTTCACTAAGGAAAGAGAAATGCAAAATGTCACTCTTACTAGACTAGAAGATAAGTAGTCACTCAGAAATCCAGGAAAGGCTCCAGGGTGTGGGAACTTGCAGGCAGCTATACTTTCTTTCCTCTACAAACAGAATAGATATTTTCAAGGACACATGGACAAGTATCTGTCAGCTAAGGTCAGGATCAATAACAGAAGGTGGCTTATTAGATTTTAGCTGAAGCTCAACATCACAGTAGAATACTTTAATCCCTTTGTATCTGCTGAATAATTGGCAAAATAAGAAATACATATAAAGGAAGAACTAAGCTTCCTCCTATTTTAAAAACTTATGATGTAAAGAAAAAGGTACTCAATATCATCAATCAAGAAGAAAAAAAAAACCCACAAAAAATCATCTGATACTCATCAAACTAGCAGAAACCAAAATGAATTTAAAATAATTGAGCCAAGGTAGTGGGTAGTCCAGCAGTAAAGAGCACCTCTTGCTTTTGAAGAGGATGAGTTCAGTTCCCTGTCAGACAATTGACCTTCAAGTACAGCTTTAGGAGACTCAACATTACCTTCTGGCCTCCAAAGGCACTGTACTCACATGGCAGGTATACATACATACATACACATACATACACACACGAGCTTAATTTTTAAAAAAATCTTTCATAGAAAGAAATTTAAAATTATGATAAGGTTGTAAAATTGCATGCAGTAACTAAGAAATGTGGTATGTAAATCATAGTGGTCACCTGCTAGGCTTCCCAACATGCTTTCATGATGAAGTGACTAGGAGCAGGTTTTCTCCAGGCTCAAGGGAACCTTTATTACACCAAGAAGCTTGAAATAACTTCCACTTCATTTTTAAACTGTTTTTATTATTCAGGATTATATAAGAACATTCTATTCAGGTATATAGCATATTCCCTCTTATCCCCATTCCCATTTGTTCCCAAATTCTGTTTCTACATTCTTATCACTAGTACATATGTGATACTATATATGCATACACAACATCTAGGAACCCAAGACAGAGAAAAAATGTCAAAACAACATTTTTGTTAAGTGAAAATGGCTACCACTAGACTATGCTGTTTTGTTGTTGTTTTTAAAATTCCAGGAAATCAACTTTTTAAAAGCAAATGTCTTTATAAGCCAACATAAACAAGAAAAACACAATTAGACTCATGATGATCTAGGTACAGAGAGGCCCACAAAAATCTAACTGTGCCAATATTCTTACTAAAACTATTTAGGTTCTGGTTAACAAATTCTATAGGTTTTGAGATTAATGCCATCACTAATTTACTATTACTGAAAACAATACTAGAAGCTCTAAGAATACAGAGATGAAGCTGAAAAGCACACTCCCATAAAAGGCCTTTCAGAACTAGAAACAACCTGGCAAAACATTCAGTTCATACTCTAAAGGCTCTGAGTTACTATAAGATACCCTGTTAATTAGTCTCATAACCTCACTTCATAAATAGAAATATGGACAAGACCTTAAGAACCCGCCAAGGGTCACACAACAGAGAGATACAAAACAAGGACTTAAAAAAAAAAAAAAAAAAAAAAACTTTCTGACTTCTGCGGTTTCTTCCAACATTTTAAAACTGGTAATATCTGGGATTTGATTATCTTATATGTTAGATTCCTCCTGTAAGGGCAGGAAAACAGGCTACCAGCCAATGCTAATACTTCTTTGAAAATGAGTATCTCTCCATGCCACAGCTTTAAAAAAATGGAAACTGGAAGGTAACACCACTTTCCCAGGACACATTAATTGGGATGGCAATAAGAGAAATGTTCATAATTACACCAGAAAAACTACAAAGAAAAATAAGAAACCAATTTTCAATGACTGGCCAGTGCTTGAGAACCCAGTCTCCTCCCCTCTGGAGACTGGTTCTCATTCACTCTAGTCCCTTTCAACCCATTCTGGACTTGCACCATGTCCTCCAGGAATGGCTCACATAGCTGTCCTCAGCTCCAGCTACCGGAGGCAAACTATGTTAAGCACCTAGGGAAACAGGAAGAAATCAGCCCCTCCCCTCTCACCAATCCAAGGCAGGAAGAGGACA